AATGTGGCCAGGAAGACTGATGAGCTGATTTTTAAATGTATTTAATTTTAATTAATATCAGTGTAAATAACCACACATGGTTACTGGGTCCTATATTGCACAAAGCATAGTTCTACATTAAAAAAAGGTGGCTCAGTTGGTGAAGCGTCTGCCTTCGGCTCAAGTCATAATCCCAGGGTCCTGGGATCGAGCCCACATCGGGGGTCCCTGCTCAAGGGGGGGAGCCTGTTTCTCCCTCTGCCTGCCACCCCTCCTGCTTGTGCGCTTTCTCTCTGACAAATAAATAAATAAAATCTTGAGAAAAAAAAAGATGAAAGAAATAAAAGAATAAAAGAACCAAACACAATGCATGAACTTTGTATTCTAGATCAGAGGCAGGAAAAAATATTTCAATGGCTATAGAAATATGTAAAGGCACACTGTGTATGATAATCTTGACCTAAGATTAATTTTCTTAGGTGTGATTTGGTGTTTGGGTTTTATAAGGGATGGTCATTATTAGGAGCTGTGGGCTGAAGCAGTTAGGGATGAAGTGTGTACTACTTACTTTCTAATGGTTCCATACACACAAAGAGACAAAGCAGATGGGGCACAATGTTAGTCACTGAAATCTGGCTGAAGGGTGTACTGCTATGCATTGTACTCCGCTTTTAACTTTCCTGTGGGTTTGAACATTTTCAAAATAAAAAGTGAGAAGTAAAAAGAAAAAGGAGGGAGGCAGACAGCTATAGGAAGTATGATAGTAACAAAGCAAGGCTTACCACCTTCCCCAGCTTCCAAACAACTGTGTTCCAAACATGTATATGCAAATCAGTTGCCTGGCACTCTGAATGGGATTTCCCTCCCTCTTATTTATAACTAACTGCCTCTCTGGGAAACTGCAACTTACTGTCAAGAAATACACCCGGCCCCCAACAAAGGAACTGTCACTCCTTGGATAGAAACTGTGATTTGGGGGGGACACCAGGAACTTGCTTATCTGCCCTCTGAAATCTTTGCTCCTGGGCACCTGGGTGGCTCAGCAGTTAAGTGTCTTCCTTCAGCTCAGGTCATCATGATCCCAGGGTCCTGGGATCGAGGTCAAGTCCCACGTCAGGCTTTCTGCTCAGCAAGGATCCTGTTTCTCCCTCGCCCTCTGCCTGCCGCTCTGCCTGCTTGTGATCTCAGTCTCTCTCTTTCTCTCTCTTTCTGTGTATCAAATAAATAAATACATACATACATACATACATACATACATACATAAATAAATAATAAAGTCTTTGCTTCTCACATTTCTGATTTGGGAAACTTCAGGAAGTTCCTTTCACAGACAACAGGGCCCAAAACCAAAATTTTCTATTTGAAGTCCTTGTTTACTTTGCAACATGTTGGTGGCTTATAAGTTCTATATTTATAAATTGGTCACAGAGGTATCTACAAGTCAAGCAGATTGTAAATGCTACAGGTTTTGAGGGCTGCAGTAATAAAGGCAATGTTCAGGGATGAGTTGACTCTTAAGTCGGGTCTTTTTTTTTTTTTTAAGATTTTATTTATTTATTTAAGAGGGAGAGAATGAGAGAGACAGCATTAGAGAGAGGGTCAGAGGGAGAAGCAGACTCCCCGCCGAGCAGGGAGCCCGATGCAGGACTCGATCCTGGGACTCCAGGACCATGACCTGAGCTGAAGGCAGTCGCTTAACCATCTGAGCCACCCAGGTGCCCCTTAAGTCAGCTCTTAACAGCATTTCTCAAAGTGGAATCTGGTCTAGGAATCACGTTAGTACTACACAAAAAGACAGATTCCCCTGGATCATAATGTCCATATTTAACAAGTGCCCCAGGTGATTCTTGCGCACACAGAAATTTGAGAACTTGAAGTGAGGAAAGAGAGGTATGTGAAGAGAAGCCTGAAGGGTATTCTGATAGGTAAGGTACCCTGGGCAAAGGTGCAAAGTCAGAAATGAAATTGGGCTTTTAAAGAGCATAAGGAACCTGACCTTTTTGAAGGGGGAAATTCACATTTGAGATCAGGTGAGATAAAGTTGGTTAGGGAGGGTGGGGCCGGTGCATAGAGGGTTTTGGATATCAGCTCAGGGAGGTTGCCAAGTGTTTGGACACTTGCTAGATAGACAGTTGAAGGAACAAACAATGATGTTTTAGGGAAATCATCCTGGTCAGTGTGTAGGATGAATTGAAGATAAAAGAAACTCGAATCAGGGAGACCAATAAACAGGTTATTGAAGATGATCCAGGTGTGAGATAATGAAAGCCTAAACCAGGAAAGGGATACTGAATATGAAGCAGAAAGTGTGGGTGAGAAATGTTTTTGAAAGAAGAATCAGAAGATGTGGTGACTGGCTTTTTTTAAAAGAGGGATGTAAAACGATGTGTGTAAAAGGAAGTGTTCATAATGCTCTAGGCCTGCGATAGCAAAAAACAAAAATAAATCTAATAATGTGATTTAAAAATGGGCTAAGGATTTGAACAGCCATTTCTCCGAAGAAGACATGCAGGCGGCCAACAGGTAGATAAAAGAATGTTCAATGTCACTCATCATCAGGGAAATACAAATCAAAACCACAATGTGATATCATTTCACACCTGTCAAGATGGCTATTATAAAAAAAAAAAAGGCAACTCTCAGCAAGGATGTGGAGAAATCGGAACTCTTGCACACTGTTGGTGGGAATGCAAAAGGGTGCAGCCACTCTGGAAAATGGTATGGAAGCTCCTCAAAAAATTAAAAATAGAACCATCATATGATCCAGCAATCCCAGTTCTGGGTAATTATGCAAAAGAATTGAAATCAGGATCTCGAAGAGATATTAGCACTACCATGTTCATTACAACTCAATTCACAAATAACCAAGACATAGAAGCAAACTAAATGTCCATTGACAGACGAATAGATGAAGAAAAGTGGTATATGCCTACAGAGGAATATTATTCAGGCTTCTATAAAAATGGAAATTCTGCAGTAAGCAACCACATGAATGAACCTTAAGGACATTATGCTAAGTGAAATGACCAAATCACAGAAAGACATGATTCCATTTATACAATATCTGAAGTAGACAAATTTAGGGGTGCCTGGGCATCCGACTTGGTTTTGGTTCAGGTCATGATCTCAGGTGATGGGATGAAGCCCCCAGTCCATCTCAGTCAGGAGAGCTCAGCAGGGAGTCTGCTTGAGATTCTCTCTCTACTTCTGCCCAACCCCCACCCCCACCCCCGCTCTGTGCGTGCACACGAGTGCAAGCTCTCTCTCTAAATACATCTTTAAAAAAATAAAATAAAAATATGGGGCACCTGGGTGGCTCAGTTGTTTAAGTGTCTGCCTTCAGCTCAGGTCATGATCTAAGGGTCCTGGGATCAAGTGCTGTATCTGGCTCATAGGGCTCTGTGCTCAGCAGGGAGTCTGCTTCTGCCTCTCACTTTCCCTCTGTGCTCTCTCTCTCAAATAAATAAATAAAATCTTTTTTAAAAATAAGATAGACAACCTTATAGAATCAAAGAGTGGAATAGTGGTTGGCAAAAAATGGGGGAGGGAGGAATTGGGAGTTACTAATCAATGGGCCTAAGCAAGATGAGTACATTCTAGAGATTGCTGTACGATACAGTACCTCAACTGCACACTTGAACATTTGTATTTTTTGAATTGCATTATGCATTTAAAAATGTGTTAAGAGAGTAGGTCTTACGTTAAATCTTCCTGCCACAGTAAAATAAATTTAAGTCATTTGCAAAACTGTAGTTTAATGATTATTTATGAGCAACAGCCGCATCTGGGAAGATGGCAGCCAGCCTGACCTCCCATACCTGGGTAACAAACATTTTGGGCTAAATACCTTGAGAACCATGCTGATTGTCTTTCCTCGGAGGGTATAAGTTATAGCCTCTCTATCAAGAGACCTGGGCAGAGCTGTGTTTCCCATGGGCTTGCTGTTTTCTCTTCTCTTCCTGACAACAGCCCAGAAAACAGAGCTATTTTGCTTGCCAGGAAACTCATGTCCCCTTAAGTCTTTAACTAAGGTCAGAAAAGTTATAGGCTGGAAAATTTAAGTCATTTGCAAAACGGTACTTTAATGATTATTTATGAGCAACCCCAGCAACAGATGGAGGAGGACTCCCAGTGTACTCCAGTTGATTTCCAGCTCAAATGATAGACTGTAAATAGCGGAAGTGAGAATGAGGAACGGTCTCTTGTTTTCTACCTGTACTACTGTGGCCATTATCAAATGATAATAACTGACATTTAATGGCAGGAGTTTTTCTAAGGGTTAGTCTCTTGATCGAGTGTCCCTGAACCTGACTGATAATGGGTCATGTGGTAAATAAAAGGGCTAGCCCTCATATTCATAAGATCCTGGGTTTGTCTACCTAATTGAAGAAATAGCAAATGGAGTTTGCTAGGAGCATGAAGGATGAGGCTTGAGCTTTTATTAGCAGAATAATTTATGGAATCTATGGAATAATTTTTAATCTTAGTTCCATAAAACCTTTAAAGATAATGAGAAATCTATCTGGGTAAGGATTTAGGCAGGTGAAGTCATGTGGAACAAAGAGCCTCCAAAGGATCTTTCTATTCCAGAATTACTTTAAAATAAAATTCGAACCGTGTAAGTTTGAAAGCCTTGAAACTCTGCGTAGATTTTTTATTTTATTTTTTTTAAGATTTTATTTATTTATTCATGAGAGACGGGGGGGCGGGAGAGAGAGAGAGAGAGAGAGAGAGAAAGAGAAGCAGAGGGAGAAGCAGGCTCCCAAGGAGCAGGGAGCCCGATGCGGGACTCGATTCCAGGACCCCGGGATCACGACCTGAGCCCAAGACAGACGCTTAACCATCCGAGCCACCCAGGCGCCCTCTGCGTAGATTTTTTAAAAAATAGTTCATAAACTACATTTCCCAGGAGGCCTCGCGGGCAAGTTTCTGCACTCTACTAGGTCTCTTCGCCGCGAGGTAAGCTGGGAAATGTAGTGCTCCAAGCCGCCCCGCACGTGACGCGTGCGGAGGAACGGGGACAGGCGGTCCGGGATCCCGGGAATCCACGTGTGAGCCGCTCTTTCCCCCGAATTTGGTTTGTGCCGGGAGGGGAGGACCCCATCATCTGACCCCGACTGTGAAATGAGCTAGCCCCGGGTTCAGTCGCCCGCTGGCACCGCTCCGGGGAAGTCCCGGTGGGCGAGACACCGCGGCGTCGCGTCCCGTTTCTCGGCAGCGGGGCGGGGTGGGGGAGAAGGTGCAAACAGTCCGGGGGCTCGGAGCTCGCGCCCTGTGCCCCACCCAGGCTGCGGCCGGGCGGAGAGGAAGCGCGTAAAGGTTGAGTGCAAAGTTTCCCTTTCTGCTTTCTCGTCAGAGCAGCCCCAACCGGCGGTGGGCTGCAATGCCGGACTTCAGTTTGTAGGTGCCCCGGAGCCGAAGGGGTTAAAGCAAGCGACTCCCTCCCCCCCCCCCCCCACCCCGCCGCCTGCTTCACAAGCCCAGGCGGCCAGCCATGGGCGGCCGCGATCACCTGTTCAAAGTGCTGGTGGTGGGGGATGCCGCGGTGGGCAAGACGTCGCTCGTGCAGCGATACTCCCAGGACAGCTTCAGCAAACACTACAAGTCCACGGTGGGAGGTGAGACGTCGCCGCGAGGGCGGGGTGGACCCCCGCGGGTGGGGAGCCGGGGGTTCCGTGGCCTTGGGTCCTTCCTCGGGTCAGGAAGTAAGTGTCTGGGATCTTGGAGGGAGGACTTGCCGGGTGTTTGATTTGCGCGTTTCTCTTGGGTTTTCCCCGATTAGGTTCACCCAGTCCGAGCTGACCGCCTGGAAGGAGATTGGGCCAAGGTGTGAAGAGGAGGAATGGGGAAAGGGAGGTTGAGGAAATACGCAGTTGTTGCGTTTCTCGGGGGAATTGGGAACTCAGGTCTCCTCCTGCAACCTTCCAAGCGGTCACCCGCAAATCTCTGCGATCAGCCGAGGCCGCTGGGACCCCTCGAGGAGGCCTGGTTAGGTGTCAGCTGGGGCTCTTGGCCTGCCTCTCACGGGTAGCTGATGAACAGAAAGGTGTTGTCCGGCCTTAAGGATCCTACCTTTGTTTTGGGGATGCCTGAGTGGGAGAGCCCCTGAGCCACGTAATCTGATGCTCACCAAGGCTGATGAGCAGTGTGCATTTTTGTCCATGGATTGCTTAAATAAAGGCAGTTAGAAATTATTCAAGGAATCTGACCTATCTTCTTCCCACTCCCCTTTCTCTCAAGCTTGGGAGGGGAAAAAGGAAGGGAACACCAAGAAGTTCATTCATTTCTTTCTAGGGGTGGCCTTGGGCTCAACCTTTTTTTTTTCCCCCCAGAAGTAGAAATGTCTTTTTGTTAAGGTCTTTAGTTGGGAAGAGCTGGTGAAGGGGGAGAGTTAACAAACATTAAGAGAACTTTTTTTAAGGAAAAAAACCCTGCACTAATGTAAATTTTGAAGATGGGTGCTGGTGATCGTTGTAGAATTTTTAAAAAATTAACAAGCATTAACATTGCAATGAAAACATCCTCTTGAGAACATCCAGCAGCATTTAGGGTTTGAAGTTTGAAAGACTATTTCCCCACCATTCTGCCCTCCACTCCTAAATAATATGAGGGCTCTTATTTCATGGGTTTGGTTAAAAGTGTTTCACTAATTAGTTTTTAGCAATTGCCCTAGTTTTCCTTTGGTAAGGAATAATGGCTTTGGCTAATTTTTTTTTCAGTGTTTATTCTAAATTTCCCCTAGCTTTCATTTCTGTCACAGATGTGGAAAATGTACTTCCAAATCTGGGAAGTTACTCTGTTTCTCCTTCTCAGAAGGTTTTCCCCCTGGCATACTCTTTCAGGCTTAGCTCCTGGAGTCTCAGCTTGTACAGATCCGCACACAGCTCTCAAGTACCCTCCATACCGTGTCTTCTTCCTTGGAATCCTCTGGGACCTCTTCCCTTGACCCCATCTGTTACCATCCAAAATCATCCCTACAGCCTCGTGGAGGGTGGAGAATTCCCCCCAGTGTTTTTCTCATTATACAATGGGATTAGAAACCAACAGTGAAATTGAATGTGGAAGATGCAAAATCCACCACACTTACCTCATTTCCCCCTTTTGCCCTATCATCTCTTCCCCCCTAGAAAACCCCCTAGACCTTCCAGAAACTGTTTAACTTGAGATTAGGAGTTGTTTTCATAATTGCTCCCACCCACCTACCCCCAGCCTTAGAGACAAGTAGTATCAAATACATTAGTTTGTCGAGAGAGTAAAAGCTGAAGACCCCTTCAGAGAGTGGTAATGAATGATCTGTGCCAGAGGCACCTGGAGGCACCTGGCTGCCCCAGTCAGAAGACCCATGTGCATCTTGATCTTGGGGTCGTGAGTTCAAGCCCCACGTTGGGGGTAGAGTTCACTGAAAAAATAACAATAATAATAATAATGATAAAATTAGAAATGTTTTAAAAAAGAAAGAATTGTCTGTTCCACACTTAAAGCGTGCATGTGGGCTCATCTCAACCCATTGAGAGTTTAAAAATAAATAGATACATAGGATTGGAGTTGTGTGTCTCTGGGGTTATAACTGCATATTTGATCTGAGCTTATTCATGGATTTTTTTTAAAGGTAAATTTTATTCAATTGTACATGTATTTTCAGTGGATTTTGCTCTGAAGGTTCTCCAGTGGTCTGACTCCGAGATGGTGCGGCTCCAGCTGTGGGATATTGCAGGTAGGCTGGGAAGATGGGATAAGAACAAGGGAAGAAATTTGGGTTTAATCAGCAAGCTCTCAGAAAAAGTGGGGTAGCAAAACCAGAAGTTTTTTTTTTTTTTAAGATTTTATTTATTTACTTATTTGAGAGAGAGAGAGCAAGAGTGGGGAGAGGTGTGGAGGGGCAGAGAGAAGCAGACTCCCCACTGAGCAAGGAGCCTGATGCAGGGCTCGATCCCAGGACCCTGGGATCATGACTTGAGCCGAAGGCAGACGCTTAACTGACTGAGCCACCCAGGCGCCCCAAAACCAGAAGGCTTTTTCCTGGAGCTGGAATGATTGAGTTGTTCAGAGGACACATAAGCTGAGTGGATGTAGAGAGTTTGTAGATATTTTTTGTAGATGTTTTGCCCTGGATAAATGTAGAGCCCTTTGTCCCTGGGTGGAATGGCTGGCAAAGTGATAGATTGTCCAGACCGTGGGTGGGTGCTCTCACAGCAGAGGGCGGGTGCTTTTTCTAGCGTTTCAGCTGACCTTGGGGAGAAAGAAGATTCCCCAGAAAATAGAAGCAATAATAATAATAGGTGACTTTTACTATGTGCCAGGCACTTTCCTAAGCATTTGAGATTCAGTGACTCGTTAATCCTCATCACAACCTTGTGAGAAAAGCTACTGCTTCTGTCCCCGCTCTACAGATGAGGAGTCTGAAGCACTGAAAGCCTCCCTTGCCCAAAGCCCTACAGATAGTAAATGACAGAGCAGGGATTTGGACTTGGGCGGTCTGGGGGCAGAATCTGGACTCAGCCACAGTGCATACTGCCCTCCCCCACAAGGAAGGTAGAAAGGGCAGGGTGTCGGAGGGGTTATGATACTGGTTCTCAGTATCACTTTCCCAAGGGCTCCCTGCTTTCTTCCCAGGGCAGGAGCGCTTCACCTCCATGACTCGACTGTACTATCGGGACGCCTCAGCTTGTGTTATTATGTTTGATGTTACCAACGCCACGACCTTCAGCAATAGCCAGAGATGGAAGCAGGACTTGGACAGCAAGCTCACCCTGCCTAATGGAGAGCCTGTGCCCTGTCTGCTCTTGGCCAACAAAGTATGTGGTCAGTCTAGAAAAATGGCCCCTGGCTTCTCTCTGTGGTCAGAGAGTAAGCATGTCTAAAACGCTCTCTGATTCTGGGCATCCATTTCCCCTTCTCAAGTTGGCAAACTCATCTCTACCTTCTTTCAAGGGATGCTGGGACTTTCTTTGGGAAGAATGTTGGGCAGGTTTTAGATGCTGGTGTCCTTAGCCGCTGGTGGAAAGGTTTTACATCCAGAAGTATTTGAGCAGTGTTCCTATTCTCCGGAAGTTTATGGTGTTGCCTTTTTATGTACTCTCTTTGCCAGTGTGACCTGTCCCCTTGGGCAGTGAGCAGAGACCAGGTTGACCGGTTCAGTAAAGAGAATGGTTTCACGGGTTGGACAGAAACATCAGTCAAGGAGAACAAAAATATTAATGAGGCCATGAGGTGAGTAGCTCATGTTGTTCTGGGGTTAGGCACACAGATTCACCCACCTGCTGCTGCCACGCCCCTGGGACCTTCTTTTCCTGTTTCTGAGCAAACAAGAGCAGGCTGAGCCACTGGAATGCCAGCTTCTGAAGGTCAGGGATGCTGTCCTTTCTCCTGAGATAATGGGGGGACCAAGGGGCATTTAAACTTCATGGCTTGACTGAATGCCATCTGGTGATAAGACAGACAGACAGTGTCTGCCGTGTCTCCCTTTCTTCCCTCCAGTTTATCAGTCTTTTGTTTGTTTGTTTTTTAGAGTCCTTATTGAAAAGATGATGAGCAATTCCAGAGAAGATATGTCTTTATCCACCCAAGGGGACTATATCAATCTACAGACCAAGCCCTCCTCCAGCTGGGCCTGCTGCTAATAGTGTCTGGCTTGTTTTCTCTCCTACGTTTAGGAGGTCTTTTCATCTCTTCCCTTCGGACGCCCACCCAGCAATCTTATTAATTTTATTAATCTTATTAAGTACGTTTGGACTGTCTCCTGCCAGTTATCCGGGAAGGAGGACCATCGCCACTAAGGAAAGACCTGGGACTTGTGTGCCTTTCTGCATCTCGCAAATTCCTACTTGTTGCTGGCTCCCATGGCTCAGTACCTTCTGTATAAGAAAGATCACCTTATCCCTCATTTTGTGATCCCAGACTTTTGTGGGGAGCATTAGAAATCAGCACCTGTATTTTAAGGATCCTAATTGCCACCTGTTTTTGCGTTTCTTTTTCCATTTGACGGATGTGGATATCTCAGTCTGATCTGACTTCAGATTTCGAGGAAAATGAGAGCAAAGGGCATTTCCCAAATTCATCATAGGTTATGGCTTTCAGATTCTTTCTGTCTTGGACTTTGAATTTAAACCTCTGATTCTGAGATGGGCAAGAAGTGGGGCTGAATATCCATGGGTTCTGGGTCACAGGAGGTAACCCAAAAGTCACTATTTTTGAAGCTTCTAAAGTCATAATTGGCTTTCTCTTGTCTTGGCTTCAGGAATAGTCAAGCTTTTAAACTACCTGTTGTGTGTGATGAGAGCATTTCTTTCCCCAAAGAAACAATTGTCCCATTAGGGTTTTCTAGTATCTCCCTACTGGTGGGTTTCTGGGTTGATGTCTTGATGCCTAATGCTGCAGGGTGACATCACTTGGCTGTGGTGCCCTGAAATAGGTCTGTTCCTTACCGCTCTGGGAGTCCGAATGGAAGAGGGAGAGGTTAACAGAACAAAATCCTGTGGGGCCACTTGCTTCTGAGCACTTTGGGTGCCTAGCACTTACCAGCCATAGGAAACAAATTTTATGTACAGACCTTTGCCTGAGTGGGGAGAGTAGATAGAGAGAAAATCATTAAGTAATTTAAGTGCTAAATCGGGTAGGGTTTTTCGTATCAAATCACTTCTCGACAGCTTCATTTGTTGAGTTCTCACAGGATGGTGATTTATGACCTACCCAAAGTTATGAATATTCTTTGTGAACTCAAAGACCTAGAGTTCTTTGAAAGACACTTATTTTAAATGTGTGTCCTAAGTAAGTGGTTCCCGAATCAACTTATCAGAACCACCTGGGAAGTTTATTAAATTTTTTTTAAAGATTTTATTTATTTATTTGACAGAGAAAGACAAAGCAAAGGAAGGAACCTAAGCAGGGGGAGTGGGAGAGGGAGAAGCAGGCTTCCTGCAGAGCAGGGAGCCCGGTGCGGGGCTCGATCCCAGGACCCTGGGATCATGACCTGAGCCGAAGGCAGATGCTTAACAACTGAGCCACCCAGGTGCCCCTGTTAAAATTTTTTAAAATAAAATGCGTACGTTTTAAGATTTCTGGGTCCCAAACTCAAGCCTCCCGAATCAAAATTTCCAGGGTTGTGGTGTGGGAATATATGGTTGTTGTTTTTCAAAGGTACCCAGGTCATTTGACCAGCCTGGTTTGGAAAACATTGCTGGAGAATTTGGTAAAGATGCAGAGACCCAGGCATTCCCTGAGTAAATGGTCCTGGGTTTCCCTATGCTCTGTTTGCTCTCCAGGTGATTCCACTATACCCCAGACTTTGGAAACTGCTCTCCTAAGCAAATGATTAGAGACCAAATATCAGAAAGAGAACAGGAGCCAGGCCTTCAGTGGTTGGTTGGTTTGTCTGCTTTTAATGCCAGTGACTAACTTTTGCTCAGTGTTTTAAGACCTTGAAGTTCTCTTTTGTATTACCCTTTTCAAATAGGTTTTTATTACAATGATTCTGAAGATAAGAGTGGAATAGCAAATTCCCTTTATGTGAAAAGAAAACTGATTTTTATTTACTGGCTTAAACCTCTGCAAAGTCACAAATAAAGGCAAAATAAGTCTTGTATTTATGGGAGTTATTGGCTTTTAATGTGAGTTTATTAAAATGCTATTTTATACTGATAATTTAAGAGTGTTAGGGAAATGGAGACTTTATTATTTATCTAATTTTTTTAAAGACTTTATTTCTTTATATGACAGCTCAAGCAGGGGGAGTGGCAGGCAGAGGGAGAAGGAGAAGCAGGCTTCCCGCTGAGCAGGGAGGCCAATGTACAACTCGATCCCAGGACCCTGGGATCATGACCTGAGCCAAAGGCAGACGCTTAATTGACTGAGCCACCCAGGCGCCCGTTTTTTAAATACCTTCTTTTTTTTTTTTAAAGATTTTATTTATTTATTTATTTGAGAGAGAGAGCATGAGAGGGGGGAGAGTCAGAGGGAGAAGCAGACTCCCTGCTGAGCAGGGAGCCCGATGCGGGACTCGATCCCGGCACTCCAGGATCATGACCTGAGCCGAAGGCAGTCCCTTAACCAACTGAGCTACCCAGGCGCCCTTAAATACCTTCTTTAAAAATGAAGGTAAATGTTATTCTATCTATTAATTTACTAGTATCAATTGCCTAATACTAATTCAGTACTTGATACGACATTCCAAATACTGCTTGGAAATGTGACCTTTGTGAAAAATTGAGTATGTTTTCTTTTCCTGTGTGTTGACTCAGGATTTACCTGCCTTTTCAAGCATTGCTAGAGGCTGGCCCTTTTGGATTTTCTCTCCTAAGTGGTGAGCATTATAGGGCTGAAACTAAAGAAGAAATTGAAATATAACTAATTCCTCTTTATGTCCCTATCCATAAAGAAAAGGGAAAACAATTGAAGATTTAAAAAAAGGGGAAAATATTTACATGATTAGAAATACAATTATACAAAAAATAAGTATATCCTGTCATTTGGATGCTACGTCTTGATACGATTGTTTGGAACATGACTATTGTTGTAGCCCTTCCCTAGAGAAGGTTCCATATTTGAGACAAGATGCCCCTCCAGCCACTCAGCTGGTCTTTGGACAAAAAGAAAACATAAGCATTTCCTGCAGAGTGTTTTTAAGAGACCCAAGGAAGGCCTGAGAACAGAGCTGTGGGATTGTGACTGCCCTGGCTTTGGACTTTTTTTTTTTTTTTTAACATTTATTCATTTGAGAGACCATGAGAGGGGGTGGGGAGAATCCTCAAGCAGACTCCCTGCCGGGCATGGAGACAGATGCGGGGCGTGATCCCAGGACCGCAAGATCATGACCTGAGCTGAAATCAAGAGTCAGATGCTCAACCGACTGAGTCACCCAGGCGCCCCTGCCCTGGTTTTGGACTTTGAACAGAATAGCTGAGTGACCAAACAAGTGGAGAAAAAGAGACCACAGGTCAAGGAAGGCCCCTCCACAGTAAGTGATGATTTACTCTTGTTACCACTAATGAGCCAGCATTACTCCCAAGATGATTTCCCGAATTCATTTGCCTTAGCTATTCTAAGGTATGTTTGGGTTCCTCATTATGTCCTATCATCTCCAGGGGCGCCTTGGTGGCTCAGTCAGTGAAGTGTCTGCTTTCAGCTCAGGTCATGATCCCAGAGTCCTGGGATCAAACCCCACATTGGGCTCCCTACTATGCAGGGAGTCTGCCTCTCCCCGCCCTCCTGCTCTCCCTCCGCTAGTGCTCTTTCACGCTCTCTCAAATAAATAACTAAAATCTTAAAAAAAAAAAAATTTCTCTGTCCTATCATTTCCAGATTTAACTCTTCTTTAAGTGGTTGGTCTTCTGTCCAGGACGCTGTCCCATCTAACATGAGGCTTTTCCTGTCTCTGTCCATTTGTAAGCAGTGGTCTGCTTTTGACATGATCTAAGGCTATGTATGGTTAGAAGGTGTAAATATCTCCATGGTATTCTATGAGATCCATTGACAGTTGCCCAAGGAAACAAACCTCAGTGCCCTTTAACCTCTCCAAGAAGCTTCAGCTATGTAAGTGACTCATTTATGAAAGCCAAGTAATCCCCAAGGGTGCAAGTTGGAACAGGTAGGAAGCCCCTAGAAAGTGATGTGTGTTGAAAAGTACTATGTGTCTTCTTGCTTCGGGCATAAATCCCTGAGACTCGAGAATATATCTACATATGGCCTTCACTGGTAGAAAAACTCTGCCTTCTCTCTGGCTTTCAAGCATAATTTGAATCCTCTTGAATTTAATCTGCAGAATTTCAATATATAACAGTATTGCTCTGTATTAGGATTCTCCAGGAAAACACAACTAATAGGAGATAATGTGCATACGTAAAGGGATTTATTATAAGGAATTGTTTTGTGCGGTTATGGAGACTGGCAAGTCCAACATGTGGACTTGATGTTCCAGTTCGAGTCTCAGGGCCGGTAGGCTGGAGGAGCTGATATTCCAGCTTGAAGGCCATCACCCGGGAGAATTCTCTCTCACTCAGGAGAGGGTCAACCTTTTGTTTTCTTTAAACCCTCAACTGATTGGATGAGGCCCATCCACATTTACGGAGGGTAATCTGCTTTATTCAGTCTACTGATTTCAGTGTTAATCTCATCCAAAAACACCCTCACAGAAACACCCAAAATAATGTTTGGCCAGGTATTTGGGCACTCCATTGCCTTGTTAAATTGAGTATCACCTACACTTCAAAGTACTTCGTTGTGTGATGGTAGTGTTTTGTTTTGTTTAAAGATTTATTTATTTGAGAGAAAGCATACCGGGTGGGGGAGGGGTGGAGAGAGAATCTTAAGCAGACTCCCCGCTGAGTGAGGAGCCCCACCTGGGACTCAGTCTCACGAACCTGAGATCATAACCTGAGCCAAAATCCAGAGTCAGACGCTCAACTGACTGAGCCACCCAAGTGCCCCATGATGGTAGTGTTATGATACCTTTTCTTCATACTCAAATTTGATTCACACTCAAAGTCTATGTGATTAGGAATTAACTACACAGTAATGAGAATAAAGAGGAAAGAACCAGTAGGAAGAGCAAGGAGATAAGGTAAGCATTTTATGATTGATCATGATGTGAGGAGGGCAGCCCAGTAGCACTGACTGCTAATATCTAATTTGATACAAACTCTTCCCTCAGATTTGTGAGTTGTGTATGCTTCTTACGCTATCTTTGAAATAAGGCAAACAGTTCTTCACATTTTATGTTTGAGGGAACAATGTCTCAAAATTTGAAAGGCAGCTGGTTGAATTTGTAATAAAGCCAAGACATAACTGCAAGTCTTCAAATTTCCCATCTCCATTCTGTCATTTAGGTTTCTGGGAAACATTTGACCTGAAAAACCCATTTTAGTAAGTAAGCCCAGGGGCGCTTGGCTGGCTCAGTCAGTGTGTAACTCTTGAGTTCAGGGTTGTGGGTTTGAGCCCCGTGTTGGGTGTAGAGATGACTTTAAAATTTTTAAAGAATCGTTAAAGAAGGGAAATCAGTCCAGACATTTAGGGAAACAGAACTGACTCTTTTGAGGTTTGGAACTTCTGGTTTATGTTAGCTTTTGAGACCATGTTCATATATGGAATGGAGACATGCATGTTTCCATATTAAATTTAGGGCCCCAGTAAGTGCAGTTTGAGTAGAATGCAGTGCTCTATATCCTAAGATATTTAATCAACAAGTTCCACTTTTCTTGATATGTCACCCAAATGCAGTGACTGTCATTTAATTTTGAATATCAGCTATCTTGTTTGCAAGTACAGGGATTTTAACCTTTCCATTTTCAACTGTTGCTGCCCAGTAGCTAACATCTGAGTACTGCTATAAGCTAAGTATTTCCCTTAAGCACTTCACATGGATTATTTTTATTTTCACAATGACCCTATGATAGGTATATATATGGAAACGGAGGCACAAAAAATTCAGGCTTTGCCTAAGGTTAGACAGCTAGCAATTGGCAAACTGATTTTTAGCCTCAAGCAGTATGACTCCAGAAAATGACCCTTCACTACAGAATACACTGCATCTCCTTTTTTATGTGTGTGTTTTGGTGATGGCATCCTTGAATTTTTTCCATATAACAAATGCTCAGTACAACAGAAACAAAGACTAATTTATTAAGTGGGTATACAGATTTTTTAATACTTTTATCATGAAAAATTTTAAGTCTCGTGAAGGAAAATGAAGAAGAAAAATCCAATCCACCCATAGTCCCACAACCCAAACAAAATCTCTATTTACAGAAATCCACCTAACCTTAGCTCTTAACACTCTTTAAAGTAGAGAGGAAGATAGAAGTCTGGAGCAGAAGAAATATACACAAGAAAATGAAATTAAATGTTTAAATTGACTGTGGCCCAATCTTTTTCTGGCTGTGATCTGAGGGC